AAATGTGTGTGGGTTGCCCCGTGCTTTTCTCACCAGGTTCTTCGAGCGTTCGGCGCTCCCTTTGCTCACGTCCACCATGTACGCCTGGCTGATGGGGAGCGAGCACTTCAGCAATCCTGGCAGGGTCCTGACAAGGGAGAGAGAGGGAAGGGGGAGAGACAGACAGCAGATAGAACAAGCGGAAACAGCAGCAGGCAGGGAGTATCTCAGTAGTGTTGCGTGTTCGTCATGTCGCCGTCCACCCCGGGGTTCAAGCAGCCACCTGATTTGAAGACTGAACTGGCTCTGACACCCTTAGAAACTGGGGGAAACCCTTCCGAGATAAGAGAGAAATACCATGGCAGGCGAAGAGAGATAAATCATGGCATCGTGCTTCTCTCCAGTGCACAGCTTGTGTAACAAATTGCTTCCTGTTAAGAACAACAATATTCGACTGGTTGCCGAATTCATGGAGTCGCCTGCATCAACTTCGCGGAGCAGGCAACGCCCAAAAATAGCGAGAAATGACGACGATGCAACGTTACACATTGCATCACGGGGGTTGAGCTCGACGATCAAAACAAACCACTCCATAGCGGCAAGGAGATCCCTCGTCCAACGAACAAGACAAAGGCAACAGAATTTTGTACAACGCCCCACAAACCAAACCAAACCAGCTCTACGCGGCTGGTGCGTGGCTAAGGTTTAGTCTACACACCCACCCTCCGTGTGAACGCACCGAAACCTTTCCCGCACGGAGAGGAGGCCCGACCCAGAAAAAAAAAAAAAATCGGCGTGAAACGTCATCTAGACACAGTCGTAGGCCATCTAGATAAGGCGGGTATGCGCCAGAACGATCCGCCCGCCCAATAGCGGGCACCCGCACCATCAATGCATCAACCGTTCTGAGTATTCCATCTGTGCCAGCCGATGTCACGCACCCGAAAGCGGGCACTTGTCTTGTACAAACCGCCTAATAGAGAGCCTACGACTGTAGGATTGAACTCTTGCCGCACCGAGCAACACACACAGGGATTCAGCAACGGGAGGTGACAAGACTGACCTCGATGCTATGAACGTCCACCTCCCCGTGGCGTACAGGGACCCAAGCGCCCCGATCATGTTGCCCACGCAGGACATCTTCAGCATCGCCACTCGGCCCATGGAGTCGCTCACCCGGCCCAGCATCTGCCGGAAAGGACAAACAACGACGGCGTGCCAGTTCTTAACATCGACCGGAACGAAAAAAAAAAGCGGTGTTTGGTTGTATGTATGCAGAGAGATCACACGCAGACGAGGAGAGAGAGAGAGAGACAGACAGAGGGAAATCGAGCACATGGCCGGAAGCAGACCGATGTGCCGAGCGAACATCCGTCCTCTCACAACTAACGATCCCTTGACAGTCCATCTCGAATACGTATCGTCCAAGGGCCTCCGGAAAGCAAAGGCTTGAAGGCCTGACCTGACTTGACCCGCGGAAATGTACGGCTGAGCGTATATCCACAGCGGTAATCTAGCGACAGGCTGGAAATAACGCATAACGCTTTGAACAACGTTTGAGACATGATTGCGCGACCCCGCCCCTCCGTCTTGAAAGGATCGCCAGCATCAAGGCAAGCAAGCACCTCCATGCAGGATCAACATCAACCCTTGTGGGGCTTGGAGCTTGGTCTCTTACCGGCCCGACGAAAAAGCTGATGATGCCGTATGTAGACGCGACCCAGCCCTGCCATCGCAGGTCCATCCCATGGCTTTCGAAGGCCGCCGGCATGGAAGGGATCTACGTAGGTATAACGGGGAGGGTGGGAGAAGGAACAACAGTCCGCTCGCAAATCAAAAGTCGAGTCGCTTCCACCAAATTGCGGTATCGAACCCACGTCGGTCTCACAAGACTAACCCAACTTCCGAGATGGATGCTTCATCCAACATGCATACTTCCGAAGGAGAAAACTGGGAAGGTTACTGGGACCGCACCCTATCCCTAACCCTAACAAAAACTTCCCCGATTGCATTTTTTGTCCAACATATTTGCTTGATGGAAAAACGCTGCGAAGGCTGCTGGTCTTAACAAGCAGCAATGAGAGTACGGGCAATCGCCCCTCGCCTATTGATCGTTCAGGGCACGTGGGAGGTGTGCAGATCTCCTATTCAGCGGCCCTAGGAAACGCCTTCGGCGTTCCACATTTCTAAAAATCTTCAGCACCAATCTATGCTATGTATCGCGAACAAAGCACCCGCTTCTCTCGCCATTGCTACCTACCGTATGTCGCAAGGATCCAAGCCCCATCGTTATTCAAGACTGATGTGCCAACAGGTTTGTGAAATTTCCTTTTTGGTTCGTCGGGGTTCGCTCAGCTCTTCGAGTCAACACACTCGTCAGTTGTGTGAGCTGTTGGAGCTTGGGAAACGTCACGCCGCAGCTGGCAGACAGCTGTGGGTCTGTCCTGTTGCCTGCTTCTAGTTTCGTCGTGCATCATCACCCCTTGATGACACTGCTGTGCATTCATGAGCCCACTCCTCTGGTATCACTTGTACGTGATTAAACATTTGCGACTTAACGAAGATTTGCGATCCCCAATTTGCCTCCCAACGAGCCTATTTTCCATTTTTCCTTACTCAGTATTTGAGTACATCCTTTTGGCCAAATTATCCTGTGACCACGGGAATCGAGCGGTCACATGTTACTTAGATCAGCACGGACAGGTGAAGGTGCTGGGTAGAGAGATCGGGACGATTTTTTAATGTGAAACCAATAGTAGAGTTCGGTTACTAAACTTGTCGTGGCGGCCCGATTCCGAACGCTTCAAGCATCACCGGTGACCGCAAATCAGAGACCACGCGAGTCCCATGCTTCTACCGTTCATTTTCAGCACAGCTCTCTCCTAACACATCCCTCCTACCCGTCGCCGTGATCAATTTCAATGGCTGGGTCCATGCACACCGTCCGTGCGTCTTTTATGCATAGCGACAAGCACAGGTAGGTGCTTGGAAACGATTGAAAAAACCGGGCCGCAGCAAAATAGTAAAATCCGAGGTACATACATGTGCATACAGAAATTGCAGAGATGCATACTGTTGGAGTATTTGCGTACAAGAACGACTGGTTCTGATGCACGGTTTTTGTGCAGCATTGCGAAGGCGTGTTTCCAAGTCTGTAACCGTCAGGTGAAGACAGCTTGGGCTGTGTGTGTTGATAACAAATCTCTCTGTGTTTTACTCTACCAACACCTCGAACGAACAACGCCAGCAGTTCGAAAGGACAGCGTCCTTCCCTGCACAACGTAAGCCATTTCGCCCAACACATGCTACTCCGAAGTACACGAAGACACTAAAAAAAGAGCTCGTTTATTGCATCTACTGCAGAAACGGCGGGCGGCGAACGGCGAACGGCGAACGGCGAACCTGCACCCCCGTAGCCACGCCTGGATCCCGCAGCCACAGCACCTCGTGAGTGCATCGTTGTAAAACTCGGGAAGGTTAGGGTTTGGACTTTAGACGCTTTCATCATCGTGATGATAGATACAGCAGGAGGTTGCGTATTCAAATTAGAGTCAAGAAAGCCGGTTCATTGATTGAAGGCATTTCCTGTGGGTCGCTGTAAGAGGAGCCCTGCACCACTGACTCCCATGCGCCCCCAAGTACACGACACACCTTGTACAACAACACGTCGTTCTACACAGTACGGGAGTCTAAGCAACATGGCCAAGTACCATGCAGGTGGGTGAGTGTCGGCTACGCGAATCAGCCGAAGCCGCCAGACATATGCATAGGTACATAACTGCAGGGGGGGGGAGGGTAGACAGTAAGCGACCCGCGCGTTGAAGCAACGTGTCCGTTCCGAGATGACGCAAAACCACGCGAGCACAGGCAGTGTTATTATGTGTGCTTGGTACCAACAAGGGCTCGAAGCAATCATCAGTCAGTCAAAAAGTGCACTTAAGAGTAATCTGTCAGCGTGTTACAATAAATCTGCATGCAGCGCGTAGGGCGACCGCTGGGTAGACCTCGAGGGCAGAACAACAACACAACAGAGCTTGGGTGGGAGGTTCTAGTCGGTTGATCAACCAGGACACCAAAAGGGGCAGCAGAAGCGGCACGAGGAAATGAATGATGTAGCGGGACTTCAGCTACCTATGGTGGTTGCATAGCTGCAGACCTTTATTTACACCGCCCCTAAAAAAGGGCCGGAAGAAGTGCAACTTGCCTTACCGGCGGCCTGGGACAACGGCAGTAGATACATATGTAGGCCGAAATACGCACACGAAGTTCGGAGGAGACGACTGCACAATGGTTGCTCTCCGTTCGGTCGGTGCATTTCTTGATTGTGTTGTACATACCTCTGCTCTCGTCGCGTGATATTGGTGCGCAAAGAACTGGCAGCAGCAGGAACTCATCACACGGCTCAAACACTGCACTTTGATGCTTCATAATTATACACATACCTGAACGCTCAGTATCATGAGATCTAACACCATCACCAGCGAGAGGAGCCTCGCATGGCTGACCCAGATCCCCGTCCTCGACCAGAAGCACGGGATTCTCGTTCTGTTCATGTGCTTTCCATGAAGGTCGTCTTCGTCGTCATCTTTTTCCAAGGATATTTCCTTTATCTCTCGTCGCTGCTGCTGATGCTGCTGCTGCTGCTCGTGGTGATGGCTGTGGTCGTCGAAGTCGAGGTTGGTCATGCTGCTGGTGCTTGCGCTGCTCGCGGTGTCCTTTCTGCTGTTTCCTCCGATGGAGAGGAGTGGGTCTTCCTCGGCGGTGTTGTCCAACATTCCATTTACTCTGCTGCTGCTGCTGCTGCTGCTGTTGCGGCGGTGTGCGTGTGTGTCTTGCCGTGCCTTTGCAGGGGCACACGCAGAATGGATTCCCGTGTCTTTACAGGGGCACACGCATAATGGATTCTGTTGGGGTGTGCTCGTGTCTGCAGAGACTGTGAGACTGGAGACAGCGACTCACAGCACCGCGATCCTGGCACGGCGCCAAACAGCAGAGCACCAACACAAGTGCCGTAGAGTGACATGGAGACTTCGCTTACGAGATCAAAGGCCGCCGTCTCTGCTGTGATCGTGGCCGCTTTGCTCACGGCCTGGCGCGTTTGGCAGGCGGGGAGCCGTCGGCGCCGCCGCCGCAGCTGGCGGACTACTGACAACACCGCCAGGGTGCTTCTCCTTACAGCTAGCGATAACGGAAAGGTAAGAGTGCAGACAGCAGAGGGTGATACCAAGACGGGTAGATGGGCAGGCAGAAGAGAAAGTCGTTGCTGAGATGCGTGTAATATGGTGCGGATGAGACGTGCATTGGTTTTACCTCGGGCGAGAAGAGCGGCAATCGGCAGGATACGATGCCGATGTCTGTCACACACAGCGGAAGCACGCCCGGCAAGCAAGCACGCATTACATGCTGTCTGCACGTTCTACACCGCCGATGACCAGGAAGTCTCCCTTTCGCCACCCCCCTGCATCAGATTGCGAACCGATATTGCGTGGGAACCTTCGCGCGTGGTGGTGATGACGCGATGGCTGTGTGTGTTTCTTCCTTCTTCCTCCTTTGGTGCTTTCGTGCTGGTTTTGCGGCACAAATCAGCAGTAAATGTACAACCGTATGCATAGTATACAACGGTCAGAGTTGGCGTGATAATACAACGGTCAAGTACGGTGGGCGGTTCCTCCGCACAAGATGAGATGACAGCGGTCTCGAGGGATGCTAGTACAGCAGTACGGGGGGAGGAGAATGAACTCGGTATGCCACGGCCATCCTCGCGACAGCCTAGTTGGTGCGTGGAATGTTTGCTTGTCTGATCCCCAATCGACGGAAACGGACGATAAACCATGAGGTTTATATGTCGAACGGGTAGTCTTTCTGTGGGGTAATGTTTACTTTCTAAAAGCATGCACGGATTCAAGAGTCGACTCGACCTAGCCGAAGGATACATACTGTAGGATTTCCCACAACATCTTTCGCCCGGTGCGCCTGTGTGATGTAGAAGGCCCTTGGTGCAGGCTTAACCCTTAATGTGACTGGGTTTTCCCTGGATCTTCCGAGGGTCTTTTTTTTTCTCAACTGTGCGAAGAGACCGCTGACATCATCAAGGCCAAGGCTGTGGAACACACATATTTCAACCACCGTCTCCAGTTCTCTACACACCAACAACAAAAACACCTACCGGTATCTCCCACATGCACTCGAGTACACATGGTCGCATCCACACGCCACTCCCTTGCTCACACAAACCTTTGGTATATATCAGCAGACCAACACACATCAGGCCTCTCATCGGTGACTGCTGTACGAGCTGGGCGAGCACTGGGGGGCTCGATCGATAGAGGCAGACACATTGTCTCCACCCCGCACTGCTGCTGCTGTGAACTGAACATGGGTATCCACATGGGATAGCTCTAGTAATATCACTGCTGTCCGCCCGCGAGGCCTGGCACCGCCTAACGTTCCACTTTCAGTGCTCCTTCGTTGGGAGCGACGACACATGTCCACGCACGAACGAATGTGACATCGGGAAAAATACTAATAAACATCCAACCGTCGGCAGCACACCAGCAGCAGAAGCACCAGCAGTAGCAGTAGCAGCAGGCCTCGTGGTATGACATTCGGTTGAAAAGAGACGCCGATACGCATACGTAGAGGGGACCCGTCGAGAGGCATCGCAAGGTGGACCCTTACTCCTGTGCGCCAGCGATAACTTGGGCACTAAACGAAAAAAAAGTCGTTTACGAATCGCAAAATAACGCAATATCGGGTCAAATAGAATAAAATCGTGCGAGATTATCAATTCTATACTACAGATAAAGGGGGACGATCGGAGCTGTGATCAGAGTTGTAGTCCCGAAATCCCTTGCTATTGTGAGCGAGAAGTGGCCGGGGACGATAGTCTCCTTGCCGCTCCTACCTCTCTACCTTTAGGCACAACAGCAGCAGCAGAAGTAACCCAATCACTACCATCAGCATGGACTCAGAGGAAGTTGCTCAGTTTTGGCTGCCCATGGCAGACCAATGGCATCCCGAGACGGGTCCACGTGTTGTCTGGGATGAGCTGCTTGCCATCGCGAACTCCATGCCAGACCAACTTCCCGACGCCACGGCTGCTGCAGCTCGGGCGGTGGGACAGCGCTACTGTCAACACGGGGCAGCAGAGCCGCAGCCCCTACCCGAGATCAGGAACCTTGCGGAAAAAGGAAGACCGCGGCGCAGCAGCACCCCGGTCTCTGCGGGTAGCATTGTGTAGGGGATGCTACTGCTGCTGTGCTGCTGTCCCCGTCGTTATTTGGTTCCTTTTCGACGGTCTACTCGTCCAGTCCAGCCCTCGTCGACGCAGGTATCCACAGCTCAATTCGGGCTCAATTCGGTTCGATAATGTCGCATTAAAGAGTCATCGGAGCTGGGAACGGAGCTCATTCGTGGGTGTACTCACATAAGGGTTAACCTTGCGACCGGTGATTGGGGTCTGACATGTTAACATTCCACGCACTAGGCTGTCGTGAAGGTGGCAGCTGCAGACCGAGTTCATTTCTTTGCGTGACTTCAGCAGCCCAGTGCGCCTCGGGTGCCCGGTGTGTACCGTGAAAGGTGGAGAGATGGCACCGGGGTGCGTGCATACAACGCCACCGAGCACCAGTAGTCCCACTGTGTGTAGTTCATTGGGCATCGCACCGGTCGGAGAGATCGCATCCGGGTGCCATGAAAAAAGCGAAACGAAAAAATTTAATTGCATTTCCGCACCGGGGTCGGGGAGAGATGGCAAGCGTGGGAGAGATCGCACCGGGGGGGCGGGGGCGGGGGCGGGGGCGTACTCTTATGTTTTGCATGCCTTCGCGGTTAGACCATTGACCACGCATCCTCGAGAGGACGGAGCATTCTTCCCACAGGACCGATCACCGATGGCCAATCGTTCCTTGCTACTTTGCCAAAGGTGNTCTATTTTTCCCAGCTCAGTCACGTACACTTCCCTCTCCTTCGTGTACCAGAGATCGCACCGGGGGTNCCCTTCCCGCCCTTTCAACCCACCTCCTATGCCCCAGTACAGCTACCGTCTTCTCCTCTCGATTCCATGCCTCAAACATCTCCCTGTACGTCCCATCTATTTTTCCCAGCTCAGTCACGTACACTTCCCTCTCCTTCTTGTAC